CAAAATTAGCCAAAAGGTTCTTTGTGTTTAAGTAGATCACAATACCGGTCGTTGACCAGATCTATTCATGTAGGTGTGTATTGAAAAACAAAGTTAAGGCTATTTCAAAACTTATGATCCCAAAGTGTTTAAATTTTAGTTTTGAAGTATGGTTAGTGTTTTTTTAATTTTCATTTTATTTTTATTTTTATTTTTATTTTTCTTTTCTAAAAATTAAATTTTGTTTGCATTTAAATTTTACTTTTTTATTTTATTTTATTTTCTTTTTCAAAAGGTTATTTAAAAGGAATTGGACTAATTTTAAAGAGGACTTGAGTTTTGGGTGAGGCCCACCGGGTTTTTGTCTAATGGGCCGAAAACTCTAATTAGAGTTTAAAATGATAGATTTTGGCCTCCACATTCTTTCTTCTTCATGCCTCCGCCGAAAACTCCCTGTTTCTCTCTCTCGTCCTCACTGTCGTTTGCTGCTCGAAGTTTTCTACTCGATTTGTCATTGTTCTTGTGTTTCATCAAAAATTGTTCATTGATTCGGCGAAGTAAGTAGATTGCGAGTGTTGTACATCAGTTCTAACATGATTTGATTAAGTTTTTGCAGGTTTTAGGAGCAAATCACGATTATGACGGTAGTTTTTCGTCAATTTGGGGTTTTAGGTTCAAGGGGTTTAGGTTTTCAGTGACCCATATCCGGCCGAAAACCCAGATCCAACCGAAAACGATGAACCTTGACCACATTGACCGAAATCGTGTCTCGGGCTTTGACCGAAAACGATAAATTTTGACCATTTTGACCGCAATCAATTAAATTCAAGCCTGTTTGAGTTTGGTTGACCGAAATCAACCTTAGTTGACTGAAATCAATGTTTATGAGAAAATTAAGTTTATCTGTTTAATTTTTCTTTTCTCACTTGGCTCGTTCGGTGCAGATAAATGACTAATTTGAAATTTATTGAAACTCACAACATTGTTGGATGTCTTTCTAATCCACCACAGAACCATCAGGAATTTAAGTCCATGGTTCATGGTCTAAACAACTGCAGGATCACTCATGCTCTTCGAGTGAATACTGTCATTTATAAAGACCTGGTGAGGGAGTTCTGGGATAAGGCTTCTATCAATGAAGTAGGAGCAGATGGCGCAGGCACTGTAGAGTCAACAGTCAAGGGAAAGAAGATTATAGTGTCAGAGCAAACCATTCGTGAAGTTCTTAGATTTGGAGATCAGCCAGGATTCCCGACTGAGATATCTGCTACTCAGATTAGGGAGGTTCTCAAACGAATGTGCTATGAAGGAACTTTTCCCCCAACTTTGAAGAAGCTACTCCCTCCCTACTGGCGCTTCCTAGCTCACACTTTTGTGATATGCATTTCAGGAAGGAAAGGGGGAGCTGATAAGATCTCCCAGTCATCTATTGGTGCCATTATTGCTCTTATTATGGATTTGGACTTCAAATTTTCTAGATTTGTATTCAATGAGATGAAGAGCAACCTGCATTGGAAAAAGAAGGTTGTGTTCTTGATGTACCCAAGATTTCTACAGATGATCTTTGATGATCAACATCCTGATTTGGAAAGGACGGGTGAAACTTTGGATATAAAGTCTTTGGGTCCAAACTCTTTTGGTTTAATGAAACAAAATCGCAAGGGTTCAAAGATTGTATTCAGGGGAACAAGCCCATTGGTAAAATTCGGAAAATTTGCTGAGACTGAAGAAGCTCCAGCCTTTCAAAATTTTCCAGCTGCTGAATCAGAGAATGTTCCAGTTGTTGAAGCTGAAAGTATTCATGTTCCTGAACCTGAGGTTGTTTCTACTGTCACTCCTCCTGTGGAAATTGTGGCAGAGGAGCATGTGCCAATTCTTAATGATGATGATGATGATGATGATGGAGAAGGTAATGATGAAGAGGGTGATTCAAATTGTCTTAATGATGAGGACTTCATGTTTGATTTTGAAGTTAGTGATGATGACTTTTGTTCGTTTTTCGAGATTGATGAAGTCGATGACGTTGTGAGTTCTCCAATAGAGACTGAGGGAGATACAAACATTCTCAAGTTGCCGCTACAAACGCCCGCTCAGATGGCAGAGATTAATTCTCAATTGGATTCAACTGCAAGGATTCATCCCCGAGCAGTTGCTGCTCCAAACATTATTCTATCTGAAAGTGATCTTGAAGAGTCTCAAGCCTCTCAACCGCCACTAAAACAAAAGCATGCTGATCCTAGGCCGGGAGTGCTTATTAGGGAACAAACTCAACCAGCTCAACAGCCAACCACAACCACTGAACCAGCCCAACCGGTTCGAGATGAAAGCCCATTTTTGCATGAGGGGCTTAGTTTTATTCAAAAATCTTTTGAACCAGGAAGCTCTTCAGCTCCTGGTAGTTCATCATCTCCTCTACCTGCGCATGATGCCGCTTCTGAAAGACTTGCCAGGTTTCTTGCTCGAGAAAGTGTTGATCCTACACCCAAAGGAAAAGGTATATCTATTAGTGCAGGGAGCTCCGATGATGAAGATCAAAAAGAAATTGAGCTTAAAGAAGAAATTGGGGTCTTGAATCAGAAAATTATCGAGAAAGATGTTTTGATTGGAATTCTGGATGCTAGAGTTTCCGAGCTTGAAAGGGAAAATTCACTAAAGACAATGCAGATTTATGATCTGCAACTAAATCTCGGTGCTCTTACAACCGGATATTTTGATTTGAAGAATAAACTGATCAGCGAATTTGGTGACAAATTCAAGACATCTGGCAGTGTGCCTGATCAAGCCAATGCATCTCCAAGTGTACCTGCCCAAACACGTCAAGATGTTTCTCGTCAGGTTAATGCAACTCGTATTGTTGACCGATTTGAGAATGAAGCTACTAATGCTGACCCCAGAAGAGTAATCTTGAAGCGAGCTCAGAGGCAAGCTAAATCTCAAGGAAAAGGAAAATTGCTTTTCATGAAAAACTCCGATCAAAACGTTCGTGGAGATCGGCCTCAATTAAGTGTCACTGATCTCGGTAAAAGAAGATTCACAGCTAAGTATGGAGATCGGACGGGTATAAAGGTGTGGGGATTTCATGATAAAAAGAATATTTGGGCAGTCAAAAGAAACAGTGGTAATGTGGAGTACTACGAGCATCAAAATGACTTTAGTTCTTGGACTAAGGTTGATCTTACAGAATTAGCTCACGCTCCCTTCCACAACCCATCGAATGATCCTCGTGGAACTGAATTTAAGCTCTTCCTGGAGAATCAAGTAAAGAGAAATTTTGATGGGATGAAGATTGCAGATTCCTTCTTAAAGAAAACCAAAGGTGTAATTGATCCCAACACCAATCGAACGGTGAAGAATGTGATGTGGCCTCCCACCAAGCAAATGAAACAAATTCATGTTATTCAACAGACATCTGACGGTTCTCTGCGTAATATGGAATATTGGTTTTTGATGAAGCTACAGCCACTGCCGTCATCAAGCTTCCGACTGGTGTTATTCGTCTTCTTGAAGCGAATGATCTTTTACAATTCGATGAATGTGATATCCATACTCTTGCAGGTCATCAGATCGTGGTCAAAGATGATATTTTATAGGTTGCTGCCAAAGAGTTCACTGGTATGGTTGCAAAAATTATTAACAAGAGAATGTGGGCAGGTGCTTTGGGGAGCTCAGATGTGTTGATTGTTGACAAGCCTTGAGTTCAAGCTAGCATCAAACCAAGGGGGAGATTGTTAGGTCCTACCTTGTTGGTTTGTGCTAGGCAAATACATGTTAGGTTTTGTTATTCATTGTTGGGTCTTAATTTGGGTTCTCGATTGGGTTGGACCGAAATCAGTCTTGATTTCGGTCCTTAGGCGTTTTGGATTTTGGGCTTCCTTCTATTATCATGTTCCCTATATAAGGAGACTTAGATGGCCAGTTCTTGAGCTAGTTTTCGGTCATATAATTCTGAAGGCATCCATTGTGAAGATCTCCATTGTACTAGACGATTTCATCAATATAATCGTGTGCATTAGGTTGATTACGTGTTTTTGTTCTTGATTTACTTTGCATTGATTCTGCCCTTTCTAAGTAATTTCGTTTGATTCTAGTTAGTTCATGTTTTGGGGACTTACAGGGAAATATAATCTTGAATTCTGAGATTGACCATTATCGATGTCTCAAATTCATACAAATATCATAGAACGAAGGGATAGTTGATCACTTATATAAGGGTTGAACCTTGATTAGATCAAGATTTGGGTAGTTGCATTGGATGGCTAACTCTCTGTTGATTATTGGAGAAGTAACGGTCCTCGTATAGTTGATGACTTATCCCAGTGGGAGACTATTAGAGTGTCCAAGGTCATTATTTATTGGTAATATTTCTAATAATAACAGAATCCTTACCAAACACTACTTCCATACTTAAAAATCTATCACGATAGCATGTCCTAGAGTAACCCTTGGTTGATTTGATCACCTTACAATGGGATGAAGATCGATGGAGGGAAAGGTCAATGAAGAAGAAAAGATCAGGGAAAGCTTTGTAAGTTAGAGCTCATTTATAAATTGTTTATTGCCATGTAAGATCTTAGGTGGATGCCACATAAGCTAATTGGTCTAGTCAGACTGATTAACCTAAAGCCAACCAATTAAATGGTCAAATTGAGTCAAAAAGTCAAACATAATATCCAAATTAAGAGAAAAAAAAAACATAATGTCAAAATCAAATTTCCAAAAAAAATATAATAATAAAAAATTAAAAAAAAAACCTAGTGATTTTTGTGACATTTGGCCAAAACCAATACAAAAGTGGTTAGATCTCTAAATTTATATCTTTTTGTTGATGAAAGATGAAATAATAGTTATTGTTCAAAAAGTTGATCAACTTGTTAAATATCACATAATAAAATCATCTTTGTTGCAATTATCCCTAAAATCCAGCTCAAAATCATTAGCTTTTTTAGAAAAGTTAAATACAAGAAAAGAACAATATAACATCAATAATTTGTTTCCAAAAAACATCTTACTTTCATTTTCTTCCTCTTACAAAGTATAATATTTAAAAAAAACTACCTGATTAAACAAATTTAATGATCACGAGAAGATTAAACTCATGTAGTTTGAAGAACCAAAATATAGTCAGGTTACAAAACATTTGCAACTACTCGACCTATACATGTAGAAAACACAACCACAAAAGGTCTCATTCAAGGATTACAACATATTTAAGAAAACTAAAACCTAATAAAAGATGTAAATAAAACATTAACATTTTACACCAACTTCATCGCATAGTTTTTATACCCTTTTACAATTCTCAACCTACACAATAACACAACAAATTAAAAAAAATATAGCAATTATAATTGTAAAAAAAATAAACTACAATTAAAAAAAATAGTTACCTCAATGAATTTATATGTTTCTCAACCAAATCCATCTGTTCATCATCATATTTAATCCATTTATCAACTGTTTCAACCGAAAGATCCCCATCTCCAATATCTGTAAATCAAACAGTAATTATAAATTTTTAAAAAAACAGAATTTTTATAAATGTATGTAGAACAGTAGAAGTAGAAATAATTCACTAACCTTGAAGAAGAATACCAGATTTGTCAGAACACCCTTTTAATCTCCAGAAAAAATGACCATCATTGCCCCTGAATGTTGGCTCTATTCTCACAGCATCAGGTCTCTCATTATCTAATTACATAAAAGCAACAAGTTGGTATAAGTTAAGATTTATATAAAAATATAAATTAATAAATTAATAAAAAAAAACTTAATATTATAAATAAAAGTACCTATGGGGACCAATTGTTTACATGCAAGCATCTCTGCATGTGCTTCAGCTGCTTCTTTTTTAATCTTGGAAACAATTTCATCATGTTCCATTAAAGTAAGAGGAGCACCTTCTCTTTTAATAATAGCTTTTGCAATATCATCTTGCATTTTTTGCTTCAAACTTTTCTCCTACAAATTTTATAAAATCATTACTACTTTTTTCTTTAAAAAAAAAAATTTAAAACTCATTTATAGTTTTATATACCTTTTCTCTTGCATCAGAAAGTTTACTCCTTGCTTCCTTTCTCTTTTCAACAAACTTCCCATTTTGTTCATCCATCCAGTTTCTTATTTTTCTGTTGAAAATTTTCCAACTTTAAATAAACTAAATTAATTAATCTTTAAATTTTTAACAACATGTTAAGTAGTAAAATCTTACTCAGTTCCAAGAACTTCATCACATAGAAATGTTAAAACTCTAAGCTTTGTTGATGAGTCTAAAGTATCATATCCTCCAGATTTTTTATCTAAAGAATCGATTTTTTTCTCTGATAGATATGATTTAGGGATGCAACTTTTTAAACCTTTTAACCATGAATCATTTGCATGAGTTAGTTTTGATACTGGAGATCTGAAAGAAGATGAAATATTAATATTAAAGAAAATGAAATATTGTAGTATTAGTAAACGAGGTAAATAGGGAATAAGTAAGTGTATACTCTGATTCCGATTCCGATTCCGATTGTATAACAGACAGCAATTGAATGTGAAACTGGATTGCTACTGAACATTTCCCACGCCTTGTACTTCTAACTTTTATTAAATCTCTTAAAACTGCTTCAGCTTGCCCTTTTTTCACATCTAAAACCTTCAAAAAATGAAAAGGCAGATGTAAATATTCAGTCTTTATTAACAAATAAGTAAAAAATGTGAGTAGAATGATGTAATTAAAGAAAATTAATAGAAATACAAAAGTAGAATGTTGTTTCTTGATTTTGAGAATACCTTTCCAAAAGTAGAACAGAATTCCAGAAACTGCAATGCATTACCAACATCTTCTTTTGGGAGGTCAACTCCAGCTACATTGACCAATTCACTTCCTGTTGGCAAAGGAATGATGGGGTCAACAAAGGGTTTAGTTAAGTTGAGGGTATTTTTGTCAACTTTGCTTTGGTCTGTGTTTTGATCACATGTAACATCTAAGACTTCCCCATTTTCATTAACAATTTTCTTCTCTTCAGTGCTTTTTTTGATACCCTTTTGCTTTTTTTGAACACCATCAACCTTCAAAATTGCATTTTCTCCATTTGACTTTTCTAGCTTTAACTTCTTTTGTGTTATTTTCTTTGGCTTAATTGCATCAATATTCCCATTTTCTACAATCATCTCATTTGACCCTTCTACCTTCAGTTTCTTTTGTTTGATTTTCTTTGGCTTCATTGCATCTTTATTCCCATTTTCTACAGTCATTTCCTTTGACTTAACTGCATCAGTATTCTCATTTTCTACAATTGTCTCCTTTGACTTTTCCAACTTCATCTTCTTTTGGGTTATTTTCTTTGGTTTAATAGCATCACTATTTCCATTTTCCACAATCATCTCCTTTGATTCTTCAGGCTTCAACCTTTTTTGGTTCATTTTCTTTGGCTTAATTGCATCACTATTCCCTATTTCCAAAACTATCTCAATTGACCCTTCTGGACTTAACTTATTTTGTTTCTTTTTCTTTGGCTTAATTGCATCACTATTCCCATTTTCTAAAACTACTTCCTTTGACCCTTCTGGCTTTGGTTTCTTTTGGTTTGACTTCTTTGGTTTCTCCTTAACAGCAGATGTGATTGGGAGTGCAGGATCAGCATTTGCATCTATCTTTCCATCAAAAAGATTTTCTTTCCCTTTTGTCTTTGGTGAAGTAACCATGACACCCTATTCAATTTCACACAAAAAACAACATAAGATCTCCCACAAAATGATAAAGAAAAAGTCTTCAGAGATATAAACATTTTATAAAGAAGAGATAGAAACACAATCACACATTCACACCTCTCCTAAAGTCTCTTTCTTTCTTGGTGAAGTACATGTTTCTTTCACTCTCTTGTAATTACTAACATTCTCAGCACCCTTCACATCAAGCATGTTGGAAACAGAGGAAAAACCACCTGCTTTTGCCATTACTGCAAGCATACCAGTGGGCTCATGACCACGTTTTTTCCTAAATAAACTTGCAAAGTTAATACCAATCACAATATAATATAAACACATGGAAATTATATCTTCAACACCCTACCTACAGATGCTGCAATTGCAAGCATCTCTACACTTTGGACAGCTCCATTCATCCATCAAAGCCACATCTTCAACTTTTTCTCCATACCTATAAGATAATACATATACATTAATACCAATGCATACTTTAATGTAAGATTATCACAAGACATGAAGGTTACCTGTTCAAGAGGCAAGTGTTGCAATACTTGAGGGGACATGGCTTGGTTTTTGACTTGTTCTTGCAGCTTGCAAATACAGCATATGTCTTCTGTCGACACTTCAAAACATCATGCAGTTTGTTGGTAAGAAACAGAAAGATATACTTGAGACATATTTTATTTAAGTTGGATCTGAGGTTTTAGGTTAGATGATATAAGGTAAAAGGGGTTCAGGTCATTTGCAAACACACATAGTGGGACAATGATTAAAAGCTATAAATTTCAACTACACAGTTGACACTAGTTCTAAATGCTTAAGAATTTCATGATATGGACTCCAATTTTTTTAAGAATAGACTCCAGATTTCAACTATTACTAACGGGATCTTTGATTGTTTAATTTATAACAACATCCATATCAATCTAGCAGCTTGGATCTAAAAAGGTTGACCTCAAACGTCAAAACCAAACCTAACAAGATAAGTGTATAAAAGCATATTTACAGATATAGCTCATTCATATCTCTCACCGTCATTTCATATTCACTTACATCGTCCTACTGAGTTGTAACAGCGAGTTTATACTCAAAATGAGAAGCACTGTTTTCACTAATCGCAGTAACAGATTGTATTTCATGTGTATACCTTGAATCGAACTCAAAAACGTTAAAACCTAAAACCTAGGTCCAGAACGTAAACAACAACATAATGATGCTGGTACAAAATCAAAATTAAACTTACTTGATGGCAAGTGGTTCCATTCTCAGAGTCATAAACTCGTCCACCGATGACACGAACCCCTGGATTACTGTTCCTTTTCTTCGGTTGCGAGCTGGAATTATCGACCTTGGTTCCATTCTCCTCTTCGACACTGCTTCCGAGCATCTTCCGCTTCTTCTCCTTTGTCGGAGCAGATACGCTAGCTTTGGAGTTAGGGCTCGGAGCGACCGCCATTGTTGCAAATTTTTCGATGGGGTAATTTAGCAGAACTCGTAACAAGGTAGAGATTGAAAGATTTATAACATGAAATCGAGATTTTTGGAGGGATAATGGTGAATTTTCGAATTACAGTTTTGGAAATGAAGGAGGGAAAATTTTGGAGTTTTTGTGAATTTGAAGGCGGCAATTGAATTTTTGATTTTCTTCCAAAATTTTGAAGGAAATATTTTGATGCGTGTACGCAACTCCAAAATCAAACCGCCTTATTAGATATTTTATTGTAAAATATGATTTATTTGGTTTAATTTTTTTATAAAATTAATATTAATAATAATAATAATAATAAAATCTTTAAAAATAATCGGATTATTGGTGGTAATGGGTTGGGTTAGGCCATAAATGGGTTAGGTTGAAAATCTCTACCTAATTCAATATGTTTAAGCAAACGGGTTAAAGAATTTTCAACTCAACCCAACCTTTTAATTAAATGAGTTGAAATTGGATTGACTTGTTTATTGTTTTTCCAACCTACCTATTTACTAAATAGGTTAAACCCGGGTCAAACTATTTAAATTTTCAAAAAAAAACCCCTTAAATATCAAATAATTTATCAAATAAAATTATATACGATTGAAAAGCTATAATAATTGTTCAAGTTTGAAAATCATACAATAACTTTAAAGGCCCATAACACAAACACAAATAAATGTTTACAACCATAAAACATTATAAATGTTTAATTTCAAATTTCTACGCAGCTTAAGTATCACTTTTTACCAGCTTAAGTATCACTTTTTACCAACTTGAATTTCAATAACTGTTACTGGCCTATGGATTTGATAAATAAAAAATAATCAAAATATAATGATCAACTAAATAATAATACTAATTAAATATAAATTAAAAATATTCAAAAATTTAAAACAGGTTGGCAGGTTGTAAAAATGTTAGAAATTTCAATTTAACTCAACTCATTTAATTAAACAGGTTAGACTGATTAACCCATTTAACTAAATTTGTTCAATATCTCAACTCAACCTACTATTTATTGGATTGGGTTGGCGGTGTTAGGTTCGGGTTGGGATTGTCAACCCTAATTACATACAAATGTTTTTAATTTATGCATGTTGTGAATATGTTCAAATGATTTATTTGTTTGATCTGAATTCTAAAAAAGTTGGTTAACCGTTAGGTCAATCTTTTCGATGCTTCTATTTGCAGTTGTATTTTTGTAAGTGGGTATTTTCTATGAAATGTTTATAATCGGTTTTGATATATTAAGTTTTTTTTTAACAGCAGGTTTTTATATATTAGGTTGTTAGAATATATTTGTATTATTTAAAATTTTAATAATTATATAAGAGCTTCCAAATCCAATCACTTGCAAAAACGATATTGCAAATTTGCAATGTCACTTAGGGTGTGTTCGGCACGGAGCGTTTTGGAGCGTTTGAGAGCTTCTAGTTTCTAACGTTATACAAAACGCTCCATTTAAAACAGAAAGTCTCGTTTGACACTACAAGTTTCTCGCGTTTAGTTTTAATCAAAACGCTCTAAATCCAAATGCTACTTCATGTAGCGCTTAACAAAACGCTACAAGCTACCCGCTACCAGCTAGTTTTGCCGAACACGCCCATAATATCTCAAAAATGTTTGAAAGAACGCATTGCAATAGCAAAATGGGCCATTTTACTTTTAGAAAATAGTTAACTCTATTTATTGCTATAATTAGTTAGTATATTTATTATTTTATTATATAAATATACTTATATATTAAAATATTTAAATTCTATTCCAAAGTCCGACCAAACCCATCAGCTACTAAGTCATAGTAGTATTTCCATACTGCTCAAAATATCCAACTACACCAAAGACCAACAAATCACACATACGGATCTCCACGCACAACTATCAGTCCAACACATAAATGAAATCCACAATGGTTCACGACACGCCATGACACTATCGAACCATTGGAATAAGAAGCTCACGGTTCCTCACCGTTCTTGCCATCACCTAATCACAAACATGAAGATTCCCGACCAACACCCGGTGCGCCTATAGGCATATGGTCATCATCCCACCGATCTGCAGGAACCCAAATAGTATCCCACCTTACATTTACCAACAACCGCATGAGTCATACCATATATAACATGCACCCCTTCCACAGTCTAAATTGTTACTGGCGCATCATCGAACAAAACATGCTCGCATATAACTAGGAAATGAGATAAACTGTTGAACGCTTGCCCAACTCGAAAGCAATCATAAGGACTATTCCATAAGGCCAAACCGTGCACACTCAATCCCCATACATTATACAGGGCCTTATCTGTTGTATTGCCAATAATTCACACTTCCCAACACAACGTTCCTCAGGACGACTGTGTTCCTTCTTTATCATAACATTACCCAAAGGGTAAAGTACCAGCGGTTCGGGCGAAACGACGACCTCAACCGCTAATAGAAACATTCCCCTAATAACCAAAACAATATCTCACACCCCTAAATGAAGTTGTACCGATCCACCAATATGCAATTAAACCAATGGAACTTCCAAAATTGGAGAAAGATTACAAAATCACCCATAAATGTTGCCAACAACCTGGCTGAATCAATCCCAACACCAACTCAATTGATATGTCATGCCAAAATTGGACCTTATGTAGGCCACGATCACACCCGAGACACTGAACAACGTTACTTTGTCATCCAAACTCCCGGTGACCAAGGACAGCCGCCAACTCAAGCCTACTAGGAACAACAATTCCACAACCAACAATCGAGAACATGCATACACAAAATACCAAGATATACACTTTTCATAACTTGACGAACGGTTGACGCATCAACTGCCCCTTCAATTGATACAACTTGAAGCCTTCGATTAACCTTGATTGTTGATTATGAATGAATTAGCAACGATCGAAATGGATCAACAACTAAACTCAATGATGTCCTACACTGAATAAGAAATCACAGGCAAAAATACATATACCGTACTCTAAAGTTGGTATACATATCAACAATTGCCCATCCATAACCATAAATAGCAAACCCATACTACGAGTTAACATTGTCATTTATATCCGATGCCCAACCTTAGTGACTCAAACGCTCCATTTTTAAGATCCTTGGTGTTTCCAAAAGAAACTATTGACCACAATGAGTTCCTTAACCAGCAGCTTTCTATTATGAAAACAACGCATGCGCCCTAGAAGACATAAATTTGACGACAACTTGTTATGCACTCGATATGACCAATCTTTGAATTTTTCCTGATCAGGAAGGATTCCAATAGATCCTCAAGATCTCAATGAGAAGACTTTCTAACCACGAGCTCTTCAATGGTAGCCTACCTTCCTTATTGCTTGCAGCAGTAACCCTACACCAAAAACCTCACCCACTTGAATCGGAGATTCCTTTGATCCATAGCGATGAAACCATAAAATCGCACTGGCCGATGATCCTCCAGGCAAAACACCCAGTTCTCCAACACTTACGGTTCGAACCATCATCGAATGACATATGTGTTCCTAAAGCCTCATACCAGCTAGGTCGGGTACATGCCAACTATGACTCTCGGTATGCAATATGGTATATGATGATCCTTCAAATAATGATCGGACAATCATAAAGAAATCATGAACCTTAGATGGAGATATCTGAAATTTTCCTCAACGTCATAGCTTCCAACCCATGAAGAACGATCTATACACCATTTGATTTATGAGGCACCCCGAAAGCTGAATCCCTGATCCATTAAAATCTGCAAATGCTTTAATAATAGTTCTAATCACACTAACCATACAAATGACTATCCATTTGCCAACATGTCACACCCCAAACGACGGCGGAAACACTGAACTGTGCAATGTATAGATATTGGATCACAATCATTAAACATACATTGAACAGTACAAAACAAAATAAAACATAATGTCATTTTTACTAATAGATAAAACATTACATCAGATTATTAGAATTCATAATACAAATGTGCCTTAACAGGTAGGCATAACGCTAAACAATAGAAGTCTTTAGTTGCTTCCTCGATTAACTGTTGCTTCGTGTAGTGCAGGTTTCAGTCTCACAGATTCCTAGAAATACATGAGGTTATGAAAACGTCAACATAATGTTGGTGAGTTCACATGTTTAAGTGTTATATCTTTGAAAATACTTTTTATGCGTAGCTTTATTAAGTTATAAAATTATATTAATTTATATTGTTAAGTTATTTCTTAATAGTATTTTACTATTTATAGATACTAAAATTTTGATGTTTTACTTTTATCACATACTACCATTCTCTATAGATTTTCCCCTATCAAATGGAGTATAATATGATATTATATGTAGTATTATTATTTTATAGACACATATTGCTTATACTTTTATACTGCATAAGTATGTTCTTGGATACTTCTATTCGTAGAGTAGTTATATTTTTTATCCATGAATTATGCTTGTGTAAAGCAATACTTCTATTTAGAGTGATTATAGTTTTATTCTAGAAGTATGTCCCTTAGATACTTATACTATTATATTTTTATCCCAAAAGTATGTTTGTATAAAGCAATACTTCTATTTAGAGTGATTATAATTTTATTCCAGAAGTATGCCCCTTGGATACTTTTATTATTATAATGTTGTCCCGGAAGTATGCTTGTATAAATGAATACTTATATTTAGAGTAACTATACTTTTATTCCAGAAGTATCCCCCTTTGATATTTCTATTTAGAGTGACTAAAATTTTATTTTAAAGTTAAACGTGATACTTTAGCAGAGCAACAACTAGGTACAGTGTTTTATCCTAAATTTGGCCAGCGTTACGACGAGGTATAATGTTGCTCTAGAGGTTCGGCCAGAGTAACGACGACGTATAGTAATTATCAATATTTATACGGGCAAAGTAACAAAGGCGTATAATAATTATCTAAATTTATACAGACAGAGTAACGACAATGTATAATAATTATGGATATTTATACGGACCGAGTAATGACGACGTATAATAAACATCACTTAGAATTGGTCATCATAACGACTAGGT